TTCTTAATTATTGTTCATTGAACGGGAGTTGGTTTGTTCCCCTTGAAAAGTCAAGTAATTTCCGATCAATAGCAATGATTACTTGCATTTAATTTAATTACTTGCTTTTAATTTATTTCTTTTTACAATTGAAATTTTGTTATTCATGATTTAATTCAAGTTCCCGTTAAACATGTTTAACAATTTATATTCAAGTTACTTTAAAACAATTTTAGAAATTGAACTTACTAACTATGGATTCACTCTTTTAAGATAATTCTACTAAAATTAATCTTAGGAGATAATATAATCAATATTTCTTTAGTAAATAAATTATTATTAACTTACTTTGCAGCAATTGCGCAAGTAGTAGAATAACTCGATTTTGCACTAAGTGAATTTAAGATCATACAACATATATATATAAATTTTTTTTTACATTAATTCTCTTAGAAAGAATGTTATAAGTAGTAATTTTCTCTCGTGTTGTGTATATATATATATATAAATCTTCTTTACTATAGAAATTATTAGGCTTAAAAATTCTACATAATATGATTTAGATTGATTGCACCCGATATACAAATCGGGTCACTCGGTGGTACAGGATAAGCGCTGCTGGAGTGGTTTATTTCTTTTTCATTTAACAAAATCTTTTAATTAAAATATTTATCCTTTGGACTTTGCTTTAAACTTTATTTATAGTTAAAATGTCTAGGAAATGAAAAGCTGTCTTCAGCTGAAAAGCATTTGATGCAACTGATATTTTAAAAAAATTCACAAGAATGCAAAATTTATGGAAATGCAACAATCGAAAAATCCTAATTTTTCTTGTGCTGAAGGAAGGAAATTAGGGGAAAAAAAGTAAAAATTTAAAGGGGAATCTACTTCAAGGTAGTTGGGTGATCAAAAGAAAACACTTGGACATGTACACCAGCAAATAGCAGCAATTGAGTCTGTGCTAATGGAAAAGACAAAAACGATATCATTGCAGAACAAAGTGATGAGCGACTGGCTTTCGACTATATGGTTGCATAAATTTAAATTACTTCATAGAACATCATATCATATCATAAACGGAGCATCTCATGATTTCTCAGTGGAATTATTTGAAGATTCAGGAATTTATCCAGTGGCGTATATAGATATTAACTACAGACATTTTCCCTCTTGATGAAACCAAGTCTTTCCTTTCATCGTATGCCTTCAAAATGTCTAGCCGCTGAAGACTGATAAAGGCTCTGACCAAATACTGATGAAATGAATTGAATTGGATTATTAAGTTACAGCAAAGCACAGCTATCTGCCTAAAAGGAAGGATGCCTTCGTGAAGAACTTTCTAAGCAAAACCAGCTCGTATATACGTTTACACAAGAGAAAAACCACAAAAGCGCGCATGCAACCAGCCCGTTCGCCGGGATTCGAAGCCCGGAGCGAACTACCAGTGTTCAGTGACTTTACCACTCGGCCGTTTGTGGGCCCATTTGAAATGAAAGGCTATAACTTTATTTAAAATTAATATCAGAAATACCAAGATTGTTTCGAAAAGTTGGATACTTTTAATATACTTGCAGAATGCCTGGGGAAAAAAAAAAAAAAAAAAAAAAAGGGAAGGCATTAACAAGAGAAAGTAAATTTTTGCATAAAATTTAGTATTTCTTTTTAATTTTATGATATTTGATTCTTGTGATTTCAAAAATAAAATATTTGACTAAAATATAAATAACATTTTAAGAAATTAAATATAGGATGTTAAAATTGTGTAAAGCAATGGGCACAATGTTAAAACTTTTTAAAGCAATGTATGCAACTCATCCTAAATTAAAATGTTCGATATACATCCCTCTTATTTATATATCTTTTCTGAATGGAACATTGAAAGGCGTGTTAATTGTGCTTTATTGCATTTTCTCTTTTAATGTATGCAGTTTTCAAATGCATCATAGTCTGGGTCACAAATTATTCTTCCGAAAAAAAATGCAATTCAAATAAATAAAGTCAAATTCTGGAAAATTTATACTTAAAATGCGCAGTTCGAATTAATGAATAGAAAATTTTAAAACAATTATCTGAAGAGACAATGCGACACAAACAATTAAAATAAAAGTTCAAAAATGTAAAAACTACCTAAAATAATAACTACGACTAAAAATATAGTGTAAAGAAAACTATTTGACAAAAAAATAATAAATGATGCACCTTCTATCTAAAGTACGCAGTTCAAATGTGTAAGTAGAAATTTTTTAAACAGTTATTTGAAAGAAACCATGCAACTTAAACAATGAAAATGAGATTCGAAAATGAAAAATAGTGTTTAAGATAATAACAATTATAATTAAAAATATAATATTAAGAACATTATTTGAAAAAAGAAATGATAATGACTTTTTTTCTGCTCACGTACGATGTAAAAAATGGAAAGGAAAATAGGTTAAGAAGTTCGCTAAGTAAACTATTCTTGGCGCAAACTGGGAAGAAGAAAAAAAAAAAAAAAAAAGGCGGCATCAGAAACTTGTGAATTTCTCCGTAAATTTTGCACCAAATTTTAAAAATTTCATATTTAGGTATAATTTGAGTCGTAGAATCGAAATATGGAAAAAAATTGGTATGTTATTTCAGAAAAAGTACGATTTTGAACTAAAATACCTATTTTAGAATAGTGCTTTATTTAAATCTAATAAATATCCTATGTTGCGCTTTCGAGACATGAAAAATGCAATTTGAATTTTGTCAATCGGCCCACTAGAATGGGAAATATAGAAATGTCCCCCTTTTTTTCCCCGCAGTGTACATGTAGCAGAAAATTTCATTGCATTGGTTTACTGGCTGTATGACTGAATATTAACATGGTTTAAAAAATACTTATCTTGAACATAAACAGTAGAAATAAGTCCGTATATGTGCAAGGAAGCATGTGTAAGCATTTCTGCAGTGAATGGCAGCATAATGAAAAATCCATTACTGCTGCCACTCACTGCAGAAATCTGAACTGCTTTAAAATGGGGTTTCTCAATATCTGGCAACCTCTCCATGAGATGTCATCAATTTGTTCTCTGCCTCCTTATAGGGGAGCGGTCTTAGCTTCCACACCTTAGGATATTCTGCAGTTCCTTTATACATGGCCTTCTCTACTGTTTCAGTCCTTTAGAGTTGGTATGTTGTCACTTCTATTGTACCTCAAGGCATTTATTTGCTTAGTTAAATCATTTAAACTAGAAGTGAGATGATCAACTGGCTTCTGTGCAGGAGCAGCTCTGTTTGGATGACAATCTCTATGGGTTGGTTGCTGGGCTGTCTCAAATTTCACGGCATACATTAAAGCCCATTTTAGATCCTTGGCATTCACCATGTGCAGGGCTTTATGTATCTCAGGATCCTGGATGCCATCCATGAAAGGGACAGGATTTCCCTTGTTTTTGTTGGAAATCTGAAAAGGCAAGATGAGACAGCCCTTCAGAATATGTGGAGAGCTCCTTCAGTGTGGTTTGGGCTTCTGTTGGCGAGATTTTAACTGAACTATCTTCTTTTAAACATTTCTCGCCAAATGCAAACTACAACATGCCGGACAGAGCTTCGAAGTTTAGTCTCAGGTTTTTCAGATAGAGTTTGAAAGATATCTGCTAAATTCTCAGAGAAGTAGTGAGATAGCTTTGGAATCCCATTCATATGTATTTGCCACAATAGAGAACTGAGTGTTGCACACTTCCAGGGATGTCTTTCCCTCATATGTGAGTAGAGAGGAATGACAGGACATGGATAAGAATTTAAAGCAGTCACTATGGATTTCTTTAAGCTACCAACTTCCTTGGTGACAGTGGCAGAAACTCTATCACAGATTTGTTGTTTAACAGCAGAAACCTTTTTTTCAATTCCTTGTTTGGCAAGAAAATCTTTTTCTTCAATTCCTTCTTTGGCAGCAGAAACTCTTTCTTCAATTTCTCCAACTTTATTTTCAACTGTGCATATTCTGTTTTTCACAGCCTCGAATTTGTTTTAGCAGTAATTTCTCTTTTTATTTCCTCTTGACCTGCTTGAAACTTTTCTTCAAATGACTTAGACAGCTGCTTCCATCTTTCCTTGGCCTGCTTTCATCTCTTTTTGAACTAACTTGAGGGCCCCTTTCATTCTTTCTTGGCGCACTTTCTTGAATTGCTTTCATATTGATAGCCCCTTCCAACTTTCCTTGGAATGTAGGAAAGGCTGTCACCAGCTGTCTTAGTTACTCATCCATTGCTCTTGTCAATCCCACTCCTAACACCAAAAATTGTTATACGGATACAGGTTTGTAATGGAGTGAATGCATACAGAACTGATGGTAGATTGATAAAATTTATAAGAAAGAAATACTGTACAATTCTGGAACTTTTTACAAAAGTACTTACACAGCTATTCTCGGTACGACAGAGTATAAACTGCAGTTACTGCTTCAGCCTACTTAGAACACAAGACAATATACAAAGCCTCAACACATAAGCTTGTGGAGCAATGTCTCAATACTCTAAACTAAACTAAACTGATGCTCTGTCTGGTCTTATATAGTTTTCCCCTGACTGCCAAGAAATTTCCAGTACTCTTGGTTTCTCAAAATTATTGGAAGGCATACACAGTTACAATTACATAGGGCTGAATACAGTTACAGTTACATAGGGATCAGCCCAAGTGTAGCCAAATGTTAGCAAAGTTTGATGACTTTAAGTGATCTGTTGCCAATGTTTTGGGGAAATGAGTTGTTAATACCACTGTTAGCTTGAATAGAGCCATTTACATAAAGGCTGAATGGACTTGCCTCTGTAACCTCATTTTTCTGGCTGAGCTACGCGTTCGTGATACATTATACAAGAGAATGCTATAATTTGCATATAATTCCATTCAAATTATTTACATATATACAAAATTTGCAAAGTATGTTAGCTTCTGGAGTGTCACTTGATAAATAAATTTTTAGTTCTATGTTTTAGTTATATTTTTAGTTCTAGGTCTGTTTTACTAATAACATAGTAAATAAATTTATGCACTATCAATCATTTCGAAATCTTGCTTTTTATTATATAAATATATTTTCTAATTTAAAATTTATTACTAAAAACAAATACAGAATATATTTATTTCCCATATTCTGTCCTTATCTGCAATGCACCTTACAATGCACTTGTAAAAACTGTCATTAATAGTAAATTATATATACATATTCTTAAATACAGCAAAGAATATCTTTTACACTATAATGGGCATAATATATATTTTCATATCTTCTAGTATATTATTTAAATGTTTCATTCAAAATATAATTTATTTCTTCTTGATGAAATTTTCCTATTCCAACTGCAGGTGTTGCTAATGGCTTTCTTCCAGCATATTTTAGCTATAAATAAAAGTTAAAAGAACTGCATTTATTTTATCAATAAATTTTACAATAAGAAAATAAAATATTCTAGTAATGCATAAAGCAATAAAATGCATAAATAAATATTTAAGCTTGATTATATAGGATTAATTCAATTTCCATGAAACACTTTTAAAATTCACATATATAAAATTTGAATCCATTTTAATGCAATTCTAAGTACTTTTTTTAAAGAAAATATATATACTGAGAGGTAGAAGTGTTTTACAAACAAAAAAATAAATAAATAAAATTTTTATACGATCCATATAAAAAGTTAATAAAATATTCATTATACTTTCATAAATTAAATACAAAGTTCCATACATAATCAGCCTTTTAACTCATTCCTAGATGAGTAATTGGAAGTAGGTAGTGCACATACTGTAATATATGAAGTTGTTATTTTTCGCTTATAAGATTTATACAAAATAGTTTAATTATATAATAAAAGAACATAAATATTAAAATATTAAATGTATCCTTACTTTGCATCCTAGGAGATTACTGAACCTTGTCTGAACAAATGTCCAAGCACCCATGTTTTGATGTTCTTCTTGACTCCAAATAAATGCTTAATAATATAAAAAAAGTCTTTTCAGATTATAAATGCTATTCAATCTTATAAGAAAAAAATACAATTTCGTCTTCGGATTTTATCTACTACTTGTTCAGCACATATGAATAAATATACGAATATTACTTCAGTTATTGTGTTATTCCAAAATTTACATTGGTGCCCATTCTATGAATAAAAGGAAAATTTCTTGTTAAATTATGTAAATTAAACCAGGAAATTCTATTAACAGTTAAAATACACAGTGTTTCAAAAAGAATATACATATTACAAAGTGTTATTTTGTCCAAACTATCGATCACTGTGCCTCGACTTGGCTATTGGCAAAACGAATACATAGTCTAGTTTATATTAATAGCCGCTAGATGTCAGTTGTCTTCCGTTTTACGTAGTAACCATCACATGCTTAAAATGGCTACTCCGCAGCAGAAATCATTTTTGTGTTCTCGAGTTTGTTAAGTGCGATTATGTGATTACAGTGCAAAGACGTTTCAAGTTGAGGTACCAAAGTGATCCTCCGAATGTGGAACATTCGCAGATGGTATTGACAATTTGTAAATACAGGATTGTGTATGTGAATGAGTCCTGACCGTCCTCGTGTTTCCGACGAAAATGTTGCACAAATTCAAACTGCTTTCCAACGTAGTCCTTCAAAATCAACTCGTTGTGCCAGTCGGGAGTTACAACTGCCTACAGCAGCAATTTGGCGTGTTTTGAGACGTCGGTTGATTATGAAGTACAAGTTACATTTGTTACAGGCTCTCTGTCCTGATGACAACACAAACGTGTGGCATTTTGTAACAAGCTTATTGATGGTATTGACAATGACAACACTTTCGCACAATACATCGTGTTCAGTAAGGAAGTGAGTTTTCATGTTAGTGGTCATGTAAACAAACACAATTATTATTATAAGGGCACAGCCCCAATCCTCCTAGCCGGCACAAGCCGACCGTATGATAAAAAAGTGGGACTGGCCAGAAAAAACACAAATATAAGAAAAAAAAAAAAACATATAAAGTCCAAAATCTGTGTCTCAGTGCTAAATTCCACCTCTATCTTTGTTCATATTTATAATCTTCATTATTGTCTCTGCAAAAACTTTCAAATTTGAATAGTTCCTTTTAAAATCTTTTTTAACCTTTTCAGGCCGGGGCTTTGGTAGCAGTAAAAGCTACTAAAGGACAGGAAATCCTTAACCGAATGCTTTCGCCCCCTTTAAGAAATCACCTGCTATTTGCAACAAAGATTCTTGTATGTAGTTTAATGGATTCTCAGAGGAGTGCATCTATGTCGCAAAAGGAAGACCCTTGAAAGAGATAAGTGGTTAAAACCCCCAGGGACATCAAATTTGACATTTCACCCCACTTTTCAGCCTGGAAAAATGGGGGAAAAAGACATGGCCACTAAATTGGACAACCCCGTCTTTTCAAAGAGAGGACTCTATGGCCACTATAATGGCCATCCCGTCTTTAAAAGGTTAAAATTCTTTCTACATTTCTTTCTTGCATTCCGGGTAAGTGTACATTCATCGATGAAGTGCCTGGCGTCCCCAAACTTATCACAAATTAAGCATTTATCATTGTTCTGTAAATGGAACCAATTAAAATAAACCGGGAAACGCCCAAGATTAGTCAGTACCTGATTTATATCAACATTATTTATGATATTCATCTTCTTGTTTAACTTCATATTTTTCATTAACTCTTTTTCTTATTAGACAACTCCCAGAATGAAACTCTAACGTACCGTTGGACTGGTCATCAAGGAGCTGGCGACTTAGCACGTCTCAGCTAGCCTCCACAGTCACTGGATTTGACACCCTGTGACTTCTTCCTGTGAGGTTTCATTAAAGAAAACGTTTATGTACCACCACTCCCACAGAACCTGGAAGAGGTGAAGAACTGGATCCGTACTACTATAACATCAGTGACGACGAACATGCTAGCTCGAGTTTGGGAGGAATTTGAGTACCGATGTGATATTGTTCGTGTCGCTGATGGAGGACATATTGAACATATGTAATCTGAATTTGAGAGGTTCGGACATATCTGTGTAAAGTTTCATATACGTACGTCATACAGTTTAATAAATACATGCATTTGAAATACGTATATTCTTTTCGAAACATGCTATATATAACAATGCATTTGAAAAAAGGAAATCTAATCAATGCCCATAGTATTCTTATGCAAGCAGTGTCTAAAAGTGAGCCACAGAAAGACTGTCATAACAGAGGACTGTTGCAAATACTTTTGCATCTTCAGGTGTACAGATATCCATTCCCATGAAGTATAAAGGTATCTTATGTTTATTTCACCTTTACACTGCCTTCAGACAGAACCATCTATGGGTACTGTTTTTATGCGCCATATCCACTCCATTGTGTTAATCTTCATGAAAACAGAGAATAAATGACCCTAGCTAAGATTTTGAAACTAAATCAAATGTCTATGCAAAGAATACCACTATTAAAAATTTCAAAAAATGAATATATTCGTGTGGAAAAGTCTACCTCCTGTATTCAAAGGTTGGTTTGATTTACTTGATTTAACAAAGCACTCTAGGGCTATCTGCCTAAGAGAAGGGATGTCTTTGTGGAGGTTTTTCTAAGGGAAAATGGCTCATATACATGTTATGTATTGGGAAACCATGAAAACACACATGCAGCCAGCCGATTCGCCTAGAATTGAACCCAGATCGAACCACCAGTGTTTAGCAAGTTTACTGTTCAGCCATTTGTGGGCTCTAGCTAAGATTTTGAAACTAAATGAAATGTCTATGCAAAGAATACCAATACGAAAAATTTCAAGAAATAAATATATTCATGTGGAAAAGTCACCACCTGCATTCAAAGGTTGGTTTAGATTAGTTTATTTGATTAGTGTTTAGCACGTTTACTGTTCAGCCACTTGTGGGCCCTATATTCAAAGGAATTATGTCACAAATTATGGTAATAAATTGAAAATTTCTAAATGATATACTAAAAATGTTAGAAATGAAGAATGCTAGTTTACATATGTATTTATGTCAAAATATGCACTTCCAATATTTTGTATAAAACACAGAAGCACTTATTTTATGAAATACTTACTTTTAGCATTTTTAAAATCTTGCATTAAAGTTGAAATATCTTCAGCAGGAAAAGGGCATAATTTCTGGAATTCAAAATGATAAATATTAGAAAATAAACATAGGACTGAACTAAAAGAGAACTAGATTACAGATTAAATTACTGTCAAATGCATCCAATATCCTAAAAAAAAAAAAAAAAAAAAAAAAAAAAAAAAAAGAAATGACTACATTATTGATGCAATCATGACATTTGAAGCAAACTTTGGGAAAATCTTTGAGAAGACCTCCAGTAAAGGCATTGTAATGCGATTACAAAGTAAATCATAAAATTTAATTTAATCCCAGATGCATTTTCAGATAATTTTATTAGTTTTTAAAGTTCAAGTTGGAATATCGTGATGTCTCAGTGACAAGCAATACATAGTACCTCCTACCAAAGCCTGCCAAAAGTACTTTATTATCCAAAATGTAAAAATTTCAGCAAAAAAATATAATGTATGCAGTGAAAGTAAAGTAGTTTGATTGACTAACAGGAACTGACAGAAAACAAGCCATTGCAAATTTTGTTGGGTAAGTACAGAGTGAAATACATAGAATTAGTAATAGAATACATATCACATTTAATATACTCTTATGTGCCATATTAAGAGAATTTGCGCATTATTTTGAAATTTTGAAAAACAATAGGGCAGATTTTAATGAAATTTGGTATGAATATACATTTATAGCAGAGAAAGAGATGTACCCTTCAAAGGCCATTTTATGTATGTATGATTATCATTAAAGCGCATAGTGCAGAGATGTCCAAAATCCATGTTATGATACTGAACTAAAATAAGTCTAATATGGGGTATGGTCCATTCTTATAGCCAGACAGATCCCACAGCATGTCATACTGGACAGGACACAGCCGAGGAGCCCATGTGGCAGTTAACACCACTTCTGCAACAAGGTAGTTTTCAACTGCAGGGTGGTCCTTGGAGGGAGTGGTGAGATAAAATTGCATTCCCAAAATAGTCTCAGACATGGTATATACTGTTAATGTCGGAGGATCTGGCTAACCAACCATGCCACAAATATCCTCACTTTACAAGTAATCATCAACCAGCTGAGCTCTATGTAGATGAGTGTTGTCGTCCATTAGTAGTAACCCAGGACCAACTGTGCTTCTGAAAAGTCAAACATCAGGCTCTAGGACCTCCTCTCTATACCACACAGCAGTCAGAAGCATTTTTACAATACATGTAGAGGTATGCGGCTGCCAAACATGATGCCTGTCCAAACCGTTACAGCTCCACCACCATTATGAAATGGAGGGATGGTATCACATTCCAGGCTCTCTTCAAATTCAAGTAAGCTAAGAATCAGCGTCCAGATTGAATCTTAACTCATCTGTACAAAGCATGATGGTCCTCAGAAGCCTGGTCCAAAGCACATGTTATCTTCACCATATTAAACTCTTGTGTGCTGCAGTGAGTAGGACACACACAGTGGGTCTTCTGGCTTACAGCCCTACTCTCATGAAGCCTCCAGGCAACTACAGAATGTGAAACTTGGGCTCTAGTTGCAGTATACAGCTCATGTTAGAGCTGTGAAGCTTAACAGTCCTGTGTTGCCAGGCTGAAAGTGCCAAATAATGATCCTCATTTGTTGTTGAGGAGCTTGATCTTAGTTAACCTTGTCCAGGCCTTCTCAATATGAATCCAGTATCCTAAAATGTTTCCACAAATTGAAGATGACACTGGGAATTCCACTGAGCTCTGTAGTCACTTGCATTTGTGACTGGCCTGTCTCCAATCTACCAATAGCTCTTCATCTCACTCCATCGTCCATGCAATCATGGCTTGTCCTTATATCCTCTCAACGATTATAGTTTCGCTTATGTATTCAACTCTGAATATTTGCATACTTTTTTAGCAGCATAATTAGTACCTTTGGTTCAATACTTTTCATAAAAATAGACATAATTTGCAATTAATTTTGTGCATGAGTATAGTAATCACAACATGAGAATTTCTGACAGAAACACTGGAATTTGAAGATGACCCCAGATTCCGCCTGATAAAAAAATGGCATTAGGTGCTGGAATAGGGTGTGTGAAATGAAAAACATATAAACAATAGGAAGTAAGCAAAAGAAAATGTATATAATTTTATAAATGAGTCAGCAACACCATAGCTGAAGCTTATCATAATATCCTTTATTCCTTTCCTCTTATCTTTTTTCCTCCAAAAGTGCTATTAATAACCACAACATTTCCACAAAGCAATGACAATGGACAAGGAAAGAAAATCGGTACTTGAACAGAATTAGTGAAGATCATATACAAAATTTGTGGAACTCAGAAATAGCTGAAACCATTATAGAATATAGGAGCTAGAGTTAAAATAATCAAACTAGGACACAATTCCAAAAACTTGCATGACTCTATTGTCAAATCAAGTTTCAAGTATTTCAAGTCAACTCATGTCAAGTTTTTGCATATTTTTAGATATGACATGTTATTAAAAAATTAAGGAAAAATGAAGGAAATATCAAATGAGGACTCTGAGCTAAAAAAAATTTTAAATATTATATATTTGTAAAAGACTCAGGAGGGGGGGACATTTACCTCCCTGAAAAATATATAAAGTTGTATAATATAATACCGGGTGGCCATAATTAAACTGACAGTGTTCACAGTGTTCTGTAGCGCGATCTATTTGCGAGAATGACGCCACATTTTGTAGGAAGATTTTAAACAAGATGGGGGAAGAAGGATTCCGTGAAAAAACAAATTAGTTCCAAAAGTCACCGCTAGGGATATATTTGGTGCTGTGTAATAGAAAATAGAGTGTTAACAAATGCAAATTAATACGGAATAAAATTACCTTTTATTATGCACGTTTTCTGATTTAGTTCAAGTGCAATATGACAACATTTTTAAAAAAGCGTAAAATCTACATAAACACTGATAAAGTCTCGTGATCTGCAATATCACGTACGCTGATCAGAAGAAGAAGTTCTTTATTCAAATTTCACATTACATCCATTCGCACAGTGCCAGCTACTTGGGTTTTAAAAGGCAATGTGTTACGTTTCGAATCAATCGGATTGAAAGTTTATGTGTAATGTCTCCTTCTTTAGTCGAGCGTGCGTTACTGGTCAAATTCTTTTACCTCAAACCAGTGCAATGCATCAGCCGCTCTTCGTGCTTTTAGAACGCAGAAAAAAAAAAAAAAAATGCATAAAGGTAATGGTTCCTGTGTCAGTTAATGGGCTAAAAGCAATGGTTGCGACATTTGAGAAAACAGGTTCTCTGAAGGTTCAGTCAGGCAGAGGACGAAAACCTGTACCACAGGATACAATCAAAGCAGTTGCCACGGAGATTTGTCAACAGAGGACCAGACAATATTACTGCCACCTCTAGCACTCGTGGAGTAGCTCGGAATATGGATATGCCTTACAGTACGGTACGGAAAATCTTACGAAAGATTATCAACTTCTGTCCATACAAGATCAGCTGTGTACAGGAGTTACTGTACCCCGACCATGATAAGCGATTGACTTTTGCTCTCACCTTTCTTGCCAGAATGGAGGTGGATGATGCTTGGCCGTGGAAAATCTTATGGGGAGACGAGGCCCACTTTTACCTGAATGAAACTGTTGAATACCCAGAACTGCCGAATTTGGGATGACAAATCACCACATGCAGTCACAGCAATTTCCTTACATTCACCAAAGGTAACTGTTTGGTGTGGGTTCACAGCGGAATTTATTGTAGGTTCATTCTTTTATGAGAACATTACCCCGAAAGGACCGGAAACCTGTTCTGTTACCGGAGAGAAATATCACCAAATGTTGAACAGCTTTGTCATTCCGGCACTTCAGCAAAGACAATACCTGGGGGAAATAATTTTCATGCAAAATGGAGCCCCTCCACACGTTGCTGTACGGGTGCAACAGATGCTACGACAGAAATTCACAACAGAAAGAGTCATTAGCCGCTACTTTCCAACTGCATGACCACCTTGGTCACCTGATCTTACCCTATGCGACTTCTGGCTATGGGGTTACCTTAAGTCCAAGGTCTATCAAGGAGTGGTCCAGGACCTGGCTACGTTGAAAAATAACATATCACGGACTGTACGGGAGATTCCTGCAGACATGTTACTTTCTGCTGTTGTGCATACTGTGCACAGAATGCAATATGTGGTCCACAACAATGGCAGCCACATTGAACCTCATTTGAATGCAAAATAAAAGGTAATTTCCGTATTGATTTGCATTTGTTAACACTCTATTTTCTCTTACACAGCACCAAATATTCCCCTAGCGGTGACTTTTGGAACTAATTTGTTTTTTTTTGCGGAATCCTTCGTCCTCCATCTTGTTTCATCTTCCTACAAAATGTGGCGTCATTCTCGTAAATAGATCGCACTACAGAACACTGTAAGCACTGTCAGTTTAATTATGGCCACCCGGTATATAAACATATAAAGTTATTGTTTTCAAACGTCTGAAAATAAATAACCATCATTATATCTTCCATTTTTAATATATTTTTGGTAAGATAATATTCATCTTCTATACCATTAACATCTAATTCTTGCATATGATAAATATGATTGTAACCCCATATTTTGTTGGGATTTTTTTTTCCAAAAGATATCAACAGGTATTTATTTACCCGGCGCTTGAATTTCTTGATATCACCTAACAATCATTTATTAGCAATTATTTTTTAAGTTTAGCATATGTGTGAGCTCATAAACACTAATTCTGTCATAATTTCTTCTAATGAAATCTGCCATTACTTGTGTGGCAATTGAACTGCAACTGGACTCTTGAAGTCATATTTCCATTCTAACAGCAACTTTAACTAAAAAGAAATTTTATGGGTGCAAAACAAGACATCTGTATACCTTGTCTGCCCCTGATACTTATGTGCAGATGCATGTATTCTTGTAATTTGTTTATGTTGTTAAATTAACTAGTGATTTGTTTTACTAAGGGAGTTGCTGCTCTTCCAGCAAATAGAACATGTGTCATGACCAACAAAATGGTGACTCATGAAGTTCAAGGATGCATAGTGCATTAGAAGCATCTAAATGTCTCCAGAGGATATGTCATCTGTTTATTAATTAGAAGTGTAAAATCCGCAACTGTGATAAGAGGTAAAAGCTGTGGATATTTTGAAACATTTTTGTAATTGTGATGTGTGCTCGACATGTGTTATAGTCAAACACAATAACACGCCGAATAAGTACTAATTCAGAAGTCAAACAACAAAAATCAGCGTTAATTTTTAAAATTTTCACAGGACTAGTTTTGATGGTAAACTTTTTCAAAATAGTTCTTAAACGAACGATTTTCTTCCTAAACAAATGGAGGAGCTCAATATGCTTAGAAATATAATTTGTTTTAATCATGAAATTTATTTAATACTATAGGTGAAATATTTTGTAAAAGAGCTAGATTTTGTAAAAAATTAATTGAATTAATAAAATTAATACGTGAAAAATATAAATATTTTGAACTTATAAGAGTAATTAATAGTTGCTTTCATGAATTAGAGAAATTAATATATTTAAAAAAAATGATGAAATTAGAGAAAAAATCTAAAATTTCTAAACAATGCTAAATGTAACTTTCTGGAAGAAACCGATTTTTGAAAAATCTTTATAAAAATATTTCCAAATAAATGAATGTCAGATCATATCAAGAAATTCAGAAATTAAAAGATTTAGCACAAGGTTGATATCTTCGAAAAAAATCACAGCAAAATATGGTAATAGAATCATAGTGAAATTAGATGTTAATCATATAGAAGATGAATATTTTTTAACAGAAATATGTTAAAAAAGATTTATGTGTATGATATCGAAAATAGAAGGTACAATGATAGTTTATTTTATTTATGGAATAACTTTATATATTTTTTGAAGGGATAGATGTCCCCCCCCCGTGAATCTTTTACAAAATATATAATATTTTGAGTTCTCATTTTTTTTTTCACATTTGATATTTTTTATTTCAAAAACTTATTATTTCTCATTTTTCCTATCATTTTTCAGTCTTTCATATATGTTAAAAACATACACATTTTGTTATAAAAACCTAACATGTAAGAGAGTCAAGCAGGTTTTTGGGACTGTATTCCAGTTCAATTATTTTGATTCTAGCTTATATGGTTTTTAATTTTGGCCCATTGCAATAAAAAAAAAAAAGTTATTCATTACTGCACTACCAGCCACTTTAACAGAAAATTTTCCTTTGATTTTGCTTCATATTACTGTATTTTGGCTTTTTGATATAGATATTTAAAATCAGTAAATATATAAATAATTTTGGATTATTTTTACTGGAATTATTTACTTCGCTGGAACTTGTCAATTTAGAGAGAAACACTGAAAATCAGGTTCTATGAGTACTGATGATAAAAATGTATTAATAGGCTTTAGCAACATATTAAAATGTTAAAAATTTTACCAACTTCACTGCAAAAACTTCTTGTTTGGAGCTGAGTCAACAAGTATTGTAGCATTTTCATTATTCAAAATGTTTCATTAAGTCGAACAAAATGTAAAAGTTAACGATTTGGAAAACAACAATGACTTTTCTGAATTTCTCCTCTTCTTTCCATTTGACAGTACTAACCAGTTTCAGAATTCCTTTGGTTTTTTTTGTACACAACATAAAGCTACTGCTCACAAATACAAATTTCACTGCTTTTTTTTTGGGGGGGGGGTTACGTAATTGAATAAATAGAAATAATTATCATTTGCAGTAATATATAAATAATAAAGCAATTAATTTTTTTATTAAGCTAGAGAGTACATTAAAGTAATCCAAATTAAGATGGAAACAACAAAGAAATTAAAATTAACTGTCTCATCTAACTGGATGTACTCTAAATTATCACTATTGTAACATGAAATATTTCAGAAAAATTTTTGATTAATGTAAAATGCTCTTGTTGTTCCAAATTGCATTTCATTAGTAGGAAACATATAATGTTTGAAAAAAAAAAAGCATAGACTTTTTATACATAATTTAAAAAACATCCTCTCTTACCATCAAATTCTAAAAATTTTTCTCGAAGTTAATTCAAGGAAAAAAAAAAAGGCTATAATTTTAAAATATTTAAAGTATAAAACACAACAGCTTAAGTATCAATAAAGATATTCAATAATTAATTTTATCTGCAATATTATCTATGTTACTGACTCTGTCTCAGACCTCTGTTTGTCATATCCTTAAATTCCTAACAAATTTCTTTACTTTACTATGATGCAGAAAGGAAAAAAATATATAAAGAGGCATATATTCACAAAATAGATAAAGCGAGCAATAATTGAGAAAAGATCAATATAAATAACTCTTAAATAAAGAGGAAATGAATTCTTGTATATTACTATGTGTAAATTTGCAACTGTAACTAAAAAATTTATATCAGAATATAAACATGACAAATTGAACTATTTCTCATCTCAGGGAAATGAGCACATTCATGCACTTACCTCGAGTCTTACAATTGCACAGTCATTTCGTTTTCGAGATTCTTTTTCTTTCTGCAACAAATAAAAATGCTTTCCACTACAGAAAATCACTGTCTTTACATTTTCTGCTGCTACACTGGAATCCTGTAAAACTGTTTTAAAATTCTGTCCTGAACTCATATCTTTCAAGTTTGATACTGCTAATGGATGTCGCAAAAGAATTTTAGGAGCAACTACAATCAAAGGCTTTCGCAAACTACCCACCACCTTTAAAACAGAAAGAATTTACAGTCATTCAGTACTACATTCTGCATTTTGAAACTTTAAAAAAGAAGAAAGATTTAACTATAATTATTTTACAATATATTCATTTTATATTAAGTTAGTAACAAATGTGATTTAAAACACGCTGCTCAATTTTAAATTCATCAGGAGTCAACAATTTACGCAAACATGAAATTCAAAGTATAGATCACAGCCCCTCAATATTTGCATATTTTACTAAAAAAAAAAAAAAAAAAAAAAAAAAAATTGAAACAAAGAATTTTTAAGGCCCGCTCCCTTTACAATGTTCTACTTATATATATCTATATTTTACACAATATTTAAATATTATTTTCAGACATTGTCTATCATGTAATATAATTTCAAAAATAACTTGATAAAAAACTATAAAGCAATAGTATTCTTTCCCAGCAGAATGCCAATACCTCTGTTATACAATTAATATTATAAAATCAATGAAAATGTAGTACATAGATATCAAATTAAAAGAATCAAATCACAGTCATATGATATCATATGTAAAATGGATGGATAACAACTCACTTGATATTGCACTTTTATTACCAATTAGGAAATAAAGGAAATATGACGCATAAGTGAAGCAAGAAAACAGTATTCATTTGATAATGAAAAATGAATTAACGAAACTCATTAAACAAAACCTTTTTATTATGAAACTACATTCCTCAGACTATAATACCAATTTCATACTGAAGTATTTAATGATGCTGGGTGAAAGGTTTCTGTCAGTGGTGTAGCTGAGGGGAGGATATTTGTCCCAGGGGATGACAACTCCATGGTCCCCATTGCATTTTGGCAAACATGTAGGGCAGTAAAATTTTCATTTTTCTACAGGCACTGAAAACCCTTGATATACCTCTGGTTTTATGCATATATTTATTCATGATAATTTCTGCCACCATTCCACTATGAAAAAAAGATCTATAAAATTTTTGGCAAGTAATATTTAAAATCATCTGATATGAATTGCCTGACAACAAATGTGCATCATGGTAGAGATTAAGATTGTGGTTGTATAGTAATGGTTGTGTATACGTTGGCGTAGGTATTTGAAATGAACTAGAAAATTGAAAATCCACCAAGTGAGGAGTGGCTGCTGTCATCCAGATTTTGCACACCAGAAACATTAAGCCATGTAAAATTCAACATAAAGTCAGAGAAGTTTATGACTCTGACATTTAAATTGGTCAATAAGTGTGATGATGATATCAGAAATTCAAGAAAGGAAGGATAAAAATTTATGATGAAGACCATCCTTGACTGGCTGTTTGCTCATCATTATAAAATTAAAATGTGTGCAGATGAAGTCATGTAACTCAACCAGCATATTACCACCAACGAATTCATGCAATTTCTACATGTATCATGATCCATTATGCATAACACCATTATCCATCATCACAATTACTGAAATGTTTGAGCCAAATGAATGTTATAATTGCTCTCAAAAGAACATGTATGAAAATGCATTGACATTTTTTACATGCTATGTAAATGTCTTTCTGTCTTGAATTGTGAAGTGGCAATCCATAATCATGTCAGTTGAGTATAAATAGCATTATTTATGATCTCGCACTGAAAAATTTAAAAGACTCTCTCTGTCCAGAAGACTATGATTACTTTGTTCTTAGAAAAACATTATCCATTCATTATTATGCCCCCACCCGTCAAACCATCAATGTAAATGCAAACAATGAATCTGTGAAGATAGTATGGACAACCATTCAAAATTTTAAAAGAAATTTCAAATATATATATAAAGTAATATCCTCCATGAAAATGCCTGTCACACAATATAATTATCTGCACAGCAGCTGTATCAAAATTTATAGTAGGAGGTTTGCGATTGCTAAGCTGAAACCTGATTCTAGTGATTATCTTCGTTTCACAAAATGACAGCAGTTTTGGAATATAAAGAAAATTCTTGACAATAAAACAGCTCCAGGCATACATTAATTACATATTTAAACAGACTGGAAGCAGAAGTGTATGATAGATGTGTGCGTATGTGCATGTAGGTTTATATGGAATGATAGCTTAAAAAAAGATTTTGTTCATCACATTTGTTTGCTTTTGTGCAGTGAATTTTTAATTTTTTATTATTAAGCAGATACTGCTTGGTTTTTAGTTTTAATCAATATCAAGATTTAAGCAACCTGTTGTTGATTTTTTATTTTTTATGGTTTGCTTTAAGATTTAAAAAAATGATATTGCAAATTAAGCATTTTATAAAATGCAAAATGTACAGAAAACTTGAAAAGAAAAAGTTTAAAAGAAACTTTTGAAAAGATACTGAGACTCGTTTTTAAATTTGATTAACTGATAATAAACTTTTTAAGCTATGTTCTGTGTAAAGTGATAAAAGGAATTTATTAAAATAATTTCAAAATTAAAAAAAGTACTTATTATTTAGCCTATAAATGCACAGCAGTATTTTGAGAAAATTGAAACATACTACTAATTGTATATCACAATATCACAACATCACATATCCAGACACGTAGAAACAGATTAGTAATGAAGTGTACAAAGATGTAAAACATTTTGGTAATTCACCCATTCTTAATGGTTAAATAGATTGCTAACATGAACTAAAATGAAGGTTTGACAACAATCTATGAATGTATAGTCTCTAGAGATTAATGGAGAAGTAATCACACATTGTATATTGGCCTACACTTCTTGTTTGCCACATGAATCATTTAGCTGTAATAAGAAATATTTTCTAAAAATACGTAAAAAACATGGCAATATGGTAATTTTCTCTCCATATAACAGCTTTTTGTCTCATATTATGCAATGTGATTGCAGGTAATTACTTTTTGTTAGCTTTTCGGTGCATTTTGTGTGCATTTTCTGTACATGATATTTTTTTCTTCAGCATAAAGTATATTTTCCTGCCTTGTATATAAAACTGAATATATTATTTATTCATTGAATTAATTATGTCACCAGTATGGGAAGTATGTTCTTGAAACTGTTTTTTTTTTTTCCTTAAATTTTAATTAAAATACGAATGATTTATGTGTTCAGCAAAATAAAAATTAATTAAATTTCATTATTTAATTTCCTTACAAAGAGGAATTTAAATTTATATATATATATATATATATATATATCATTAAAGACATAAAGTAAGAAATTTAGAACTGATATTTCACAAAGACCAAAAATTGAAATTCATAACTACACACAAAAGTCGTTTATTCGGACTCGTCTGGACTTCGGCGATTCCGGATTATCGATTTCTCCGGATTATAGATCATCAGTTTAAATTTGGTAAGATGATATGCAAAAAATACAAAATTAAAAATATGAAACCGTAATTTATGAAATAAAGAACAATTATGATCTAAAGGGTTTTAAAATTTACAAAAAAAAGCTTAATATTTATTTGTTTACTTTATTAAACATTTCTTTCAATGTAAGTTGAGTAAGTTGCTTCGTTTCATGTGATAATACTTTCTCTTTAATTCTATTAAACAGACATAATTTCTTGTTTAGTTACAAAGTTCAGCTGTTCAAGTCCTATAATTGCTTTAAATCATATCAAAGACGGAGTACATGACATGAAATACTACATTTAGTAAGGAATTATAAGCCAAATAAAATAAAAACATCTGCTGTGAAGATAAGGATAGTGCTGACAGATCAACTTCCAATTCATTACGTGCCACGGCATTTCCCCCTCGCCCCAGAGCAGCGTGAAATTGATAAACAGATTTCGGATTTCGAAACATACTTTCGCTTTGTAAATCCTTTACATATTAGTAAATATATATCGGAAATTCTATTTGACATAATCGAAAGTTCAAGCTTACTTTTATAAAATTGCTGTAACAGTCTGCAAAAAATAATAAGCCGGATACAATTCGAAGATTAAGGAACAATGCAATCTGCAACATTAACTGAATTAGATAATTTTAGCTTAGCTTATACCGTCCGTTATACATTAAACGCGCATGCGCACACACATATTTGCAGCCGTAAAGGTCTTACGCGCATGCGTAAACGCCTATGCGCGTGCGTCAAAGCAACGCATGCGAAAGAAAGTTTGTAGCTTTGAGGTCCGGATTATAGATCATTCTGGATTATGGGTGTCCGAATTAACGACTTTTGACTGTAATAAATTTCAAATAAATGCAACAAAGAATTTAAAAATGTTAAAACCAAACCACTTTAAACAAGCAAAACTTCATTTCAAAAAATTAATGAAATTTAAAGAAAAATGAACAAAAAACAGAAGAGGAATTCAATCAATTTCAATGTTACTTCATCAGAGGAGAGGAACATTGAAATCAATTAAATTCTCTCTTCTACTAAAATCCCTGCTTTTCTGTATCCAGAATTACCCGATGAACCATTTCAATGTATTTTAATTATAATAGTTTACCCGAAAATTCTAGCCCTTTCCCAGTAAAATGCAAGAAAATTTTATTTACATATTTACTATTTCTTGTTTTTAATACATATATATAAACAAAAACAAATTAAGATGATATATATTGTTCAAAATCATGCAGTATGCTGTGAAATGAATTGAATAATCAAGTGATATAATCAAATCAAAATTAAATAGTAAAAGGAGGGCAACTTTCCAACAGGAAATACTCAAATCAAAATTAAAGTTAAAAAATTCAAAACTGAAATAAAAACAATAAAATTAGTAAAAATTAATAAAACATAATACATAAAATATATAACTTATATAAATGCATAAAATATATGATTGTTGAAAATTCCTGGATTTTTACGAAGAAATAACACCTTAGCCATGTTTCTGAATTACACTCTTTTGCAAAAAAATCGAAGTACCATGAAGGCAGTGGTTGTTTTTGATGAAATTGAATATGTGTGTAGCTCATATACAGATAATAAAATGACTAAGAAATCAAGGTTATAGTACCTGTTCACGACTCACAATCACCCATTGAGTGTTCAAATTAGTAGTTGGTCGAACC